ACGCTCTTAGCTGACAAGGCTGAAACCACAACGTCAATCACCTGTTAATTTCCTGAGCAATCATTCACTACGCCATCTCTAACCCTGACTCCAATCTCAAGTAGCTGGGAAGATCTTTTAGCCAACGTGAGACACAGGCCTCGGACCCAGGCTGCAGCGAGTCCGTGAGACCGCTTGCGTGCTCATCAAGCGTTTCAAATCCACTCACGCGGGGCCAGGGCATTATGTGTCGACAGGAGACGTATCTTCTGTCACGATTTCGATGCTCGCCTCCCTCTGCGAGTCCTCTTCCCCGGGCTCGGCCACGCGGAGTGTCTTTGTATTGCTGAAGTAGCCGCCGCTCTCGCCGTCCTTCTCCGGCCCATCGGAATCCTCCTCCTCCAGCGTCAGTTCGAACTGGAACTTCTCCATCAGGTTCTGACAGTCCCTGCCCCGCTCCTCCAGCGGAGGAGACGGGCTCTGAGGTATCATGCTCTGGTACCAGTTCCTGTTGTCCTCCAGCGTGTCCAGGATGTCCTGGGCATCGGGCTGCACCAGGTCAGCCCACGTCTCCCAGAGGGGATGGACGATGTAGTCGATGAAACCCACCTGCGGGACACAGAAACACGCACGCTTAGCGGAGGGAACGGCCAGGAGCAGACGGGTGCCTCACAAACTCAAATGCTGTTAATATGTGGTTTTTACAAACAAGCAAGCCCCCAAACCAGCGCAGTCTAATCGCAGACACAACCATCTGACAGACAAAGCTGCACCTACAGCGTCGGACCAGGTTGACATCGTGCCCAAAATCAAACCTAGGATTAAAGTTTAATTAAAAGCAGGAGCTGATGGAGCTGCCAATCCCGTCCCTGCTGCACGCGCGATTTCCAGTCTCCCTGCAGGTGTCCTCTCCTGACCAGCGGCTTAAGCCCTGCCTGCAGAAGCCGGGGCAGAGCCGTGGCTCTGAAGACAGACCATCCCACCGAGGGATGCCTCAGGGGCTGTCAGTGCACAGGGACATTTCAGACAATCGTTGCTCCTACCCTAAGCGTTGAGAAGGTTTGCTGTCTCTCAGATTTGCCCTCTCTAGCGCCTTTTATGGACTGAAGTTTGCCCTCTAGGCGTGCTTTACTAGAGTGTGCAGCTTGTACCTATTCTGAACTGGTTTGTGGTGCTGCATCTTTGAAAGGTTCGGCATTTCTCCATTCCTGTGCCAAAGCAGCCACCGTGTTTCCCTGCAGAGCCAGCCCCGGTAGAGCTTTCCTCTCCTTTCCTTTCAGTTTGCTCTGGAAAGAGCGCAGAAAGCAGGTCAGCTCATCCCAAGAAGCACTCCTCCCGCGCGAAGGCGGACACATCACCCTTGCCTGACTCCCATGGAGTGACGTGCCAGCGGTGGAAACGGCGAGGGCTGCGGCCGAGCCCGTCAGTCCTTCCGCCGGCTGGCGCGAAGGCTCTGAGCTCAATCGTTTTTCAATTGTCTGACTAAGAGGACGTACGTCCAGGATGGAGAAAACCCAATGGCCATAAAGAGGATTGAAATTCTTCCGTCTTGGCAGAATGTGTCACTTCTCTGCTCGCTCTGCTGGACAACATTTCAGTGCAGCAGGAAAATGGCTCTCAGAGGGGCCAGGCTCAACGTGCAGATGTTTGCTTTGGAAATCGCACATGCCTCCTTCAGACACAACAGGATGTCAATAGAACCATTAACATTCAATTGTAACATACTGTCGAGGCAGCTTAAACAAAAAGGTGATGAAAATTTCCTGCAGCACATGTTCCGGAGCACTTGTAAAGTGAAAAAAAAAAAAAAAAAATTCCGTATGGTGGTTAGTTGATGGCTTTGCCACCACCCAAACCGCTCGAGGGCTGTACAGCACCAACGGCTGGAGATCGGTCACTTCGTAAGCCCGTCATTGTTTCTTTAATCATACCAAATTATGGGATAGCTGGCCAAGAGATGATCTTAAGATATTTTGATGTAAAGAGGTACCATCTAGAGCCTTGAAATACTTGCATACTATTTTCCCATCACTCCAGGACGGACACACCACCTCCCTTTCTCCTTTGCCACTAGCTGGGATGCCAACAGTAGCCATTTCGTGCAATTCCTGTTCTTCTCGCATAGCAAAAATGCCATTTTGAAACCTCTGTGAAGTGCATATGTGAAACAAAAAAAACTAATTGGAGCTCGCACATGGAGCACATTGGCATTTTCTGGCTGAGCCTGGCCAAAGGATTCAATTCTTGTTAGGTTAACAAATAAGACAGATTTTTCCAACAAAATCACCATGCGGTTGAGTGAATAATTTTGAAACCACTTGGCTTAGCCCTAGAGGACATTTGGAAATAATTATCATCAATTTTGTTACTTATTCAAGCTGAAAAACCTTGATGATGACTTGCTCGAGTCATTTAAAAACAACAACCAAGACACCATTATATAAAGATTGGAATACGTTTAGGCAAACATAAATTACCGGCTTCATTACAGACTGACCGGGTTCAACTCTACTGCCTGTGTTACACGGGTCAGAACAAAATCTGACCTGGAGACCGTTTCATCTATGAATCAGGAGGAGCCAGTTAATCTCAAAAAATAAGACGTATCCAGCTCCTTTTAAGGTTTGTATTGACAGAATTAAATATTTCTTTGACTTCACCTGGCACACAGCAGCTCCCTCAGACCTCTGATTTAACAGGCCAGATGATGCACTGCAAAACTGTTCTGCACGAGGAGGAATAACGGCTGACATCCAGAGCGAAGGGGATCTCAGCTGGGAGAAACTCCATTGCTATAAATGCCATGGCTATAAATGTCTAACAGGAGGTACGAACGACGTCGTAGGCTTAGGAGGTGCTAATTAAGGAGGCTGGAGGGCGTGAAGGCAGAAGAGACCTGGCAGAAGGGAAGATTTGCACTTTCCAAGCCTCGGAAACCAAATGAAACCAACTGACTCTGGAATCAAGCCTCGGAAACCAAATGAAACCAAATGAAACCAACTGACTCTGGAAACTGGGACACAAACAGGGCAGGATGAGCAGACATTTGGAAATGAGGAGACGCCGAGGGGTAGATAAAGGAGTCGGAACAGCCTTGCCAGTCTATATGAGCTTCAGGCACAGCTGGGTGTCAGGGTCGATCAGAACCAACCCTCTGAACAGTTGGCTGTTTGCCTAATTTAGAGAAAGCAGATGAATTTTGTCTCCGCTTTAAAAAAATACAAGCTTAGGCAGTACAAAAATGCAGCTGACGGCCAATTACCTGTGATTTTTCCACTGACGCTGTGTGTTTGTCGCACATTGGGCTGATTTCCATTCCTCTTTCTCGCTCTTTGTCTCCCTGCTGGAAGAACTCCTCCATGATCCTGTCCGTCCACTGCCGGTACAGCTCCAGAGACTTTGTGGGATTACTCAAGTCCGCACAATGTACCATATTTCGGAGAACCTGCAATTACATTAATCAGAAAACTCGTAAAATCAAATGGAAAAAAAGAAGACGGTTTCAAGCTGTATCTGCTTGCTCAATTCAGAACATTTAACCACAAGACTTTTCGATTATGCAACAGCCTACAAAAATATTAACGTCGCAACATCCCCGTATAGGAGACGAGCTGCTGCGGTCCGTCCCACGAGTCCAACGGGCTCTATGTTTTTCAGACAACTCAATACTGACACAGGCAATGTTAATGACATCATATAGGTCTGTTTTTGAAGGCAGGTGCTTCCCACCATTCAAAATGCATTTCCACGCTCTCAGATGGTGAAACGCTCCTCCTTTATTAAATGAGTAATATCCCTTCCACACACACACAAAATGTGCCTAACCGTGGCCGCAAGGGTTTAGACAGCATGACCTGTTTTAACATCAGCAGTCTTAAATAAAACCGTAAAGAGAGTTTTCCCATGAGTCTGTTCTTAAGAAGCTGGCCATCAAAGTGGAGAGAAGTTCAGGATGTACCGTGTCCTGCTAACGACGTAACCCTGTTCCAGGACTGCTTTGTCACGTATGTAAATTAAGGATTAGATTATATAGGGAACAGATCGTACATCACGGATTTCAGCTCAGTGTGAGAGTTGCTTTAGGTATGGATTTACAAATTAGGCACTTGCGATCTTGCAACGCTTTAGCAAGCTTGCTGTGCTTTTTTGACAGGAGAAACAAATCATAGAATCAGAGAAACATGAAAGTTAGAAAAGATCTCAAGGATCATCACATCCAACCGCCAACCCAACCCCACCCACCCCACTAACCCACGTCCCGAAGCCCCACATCGACACGTTTCTTGACCCCCTCCAGGGATGGTGACTCCACCACTGCCCTGGGCAGCCTGTTCCAATGCCTCATCACTCTTTCAGTCAAGA